CGATCCCTCGTCGCTGTCATGGCAGACATACTAAGAAGCCTGGGAACTCCAACCGCTCGAAGCGGGTTACAGGTGTTGGACGCGCTGAGCCCAGTCCTCGCCTCCCTCGCGTAGAGTCATGGCAGGAGATCAACAATCGTTCCGCAAAGACGTCAGAGAAGCATCAGTCATCCAGTGGAACGCAAGAGGACTTAGATCACGGATTTCCGATTTTCGTCAGTACGTGTTTTCTAACCGTTTCCCAATCATCGTAATATGCGAACCGAAATTATCAAACCCGATCAGGCTATCCGGCTACGAATCAATCCCGTCCAAAACCCGAAACGAAAGCAGCAAGGTCATTGTGTATATTCGCCGGGAGCTTACCTACATCATTCAACCTGTGTCGCCTCATGATGAGAACCAATATATTTGCCTGACTGTGAAGCAGAAAACCCTCACCTTCACATTAATAGGTGTCTACTTATCTCCCTCAGCCCGTTTTGATTGCCAAAGACTGGATGACATTCTTTCGAGCGTCCCGGATCCGTGGATAATTATAGGGGACTTCAACGCCCACCACCCAATCTGGGGAAGTTCAAAAGTCAATACCACGGGCCGGAGGCTGGCTTCATTTGTATCGACTCATGAACTGTCTCTACTTAATGATGGGAGCCCTACATTTCTGCGAGGATTAACGTACAGCAGCTGTTTGGACTTGACGTTCGTGTCACGTCGCTTCGCCACAAGCGTTAAGTGGTTTTTAGACATCGAGACACATGGTAGCGATCACATCCCCAGTTATCTCACCATCGAAGGCTTTGCTAGCAACCACCCGCCGAAAACCGTACGGAGGATCGATCTTTCAGCATTCACAACCAACATTGAACACGCTTGTGAAAAAGGCTTAACCTCTGGCATTGAGCAAGCGATCAAACAAGCAGCGCAGAGTGCGATGCGCACGCTGGCATATTCTTCAAGGCCCTCAGAAACGGACATGGAGTTAGAGCGACTCCGTGCGATTCGTCGGCGTGCGGAGCGTAGATATCGACGCACAAAATCCATTCAAGATCTACGGATGGCCAGGCGCATGCAAAAGAAGATTCAGCGTCGTATAGACAAACTGGAGTTTCAACGGTGGGCGAAATTTTGCGCGAGTCTAGACCCTCGCAAACCGCTTTCTCAAATATGGCGAACCGTGCGAGGCCTACGCATATTTCCCCAACAACGTTTTCCGTTTAAAGCCTTGGCCCTTTTCCAAAATAGAAGGGATATCGAGGTAGCGGAAGACTTTTGTAGGAAGATTGCGGGCCCGCCAAATTGCACAGAAGCCCTTACTGCTGATTACACGCCACATTCACTGGACCCGCACCTGGACCTGCCTTTTTCAATGGAAGAACTGAATGTGGCTCTTGCTTCATGCAATCGATCGTCATCGCCTGGGCCGGATGGCATATCATACCGCCTATTATGCAATCTCGGTGATCGAGCACGAAGTGCTTTGCTGGAAGTATTCAATGAGTCTTGGAGAGATGGAACGGTCCCCAGAGAGTGGAAAACAAGCCGGTTGGTTGCACTTCTCAAACCTGGAAAATCGCCTCTAGAGCTGACATCATACCGCCCAATAGCGCTGGCTAGTTGCGTAGGGAAGCTGATGGAGCGAATGATCCTTGCCAGACTCGAGTGGTTCCTAGAACGCCATAGAATATATCCAGACGCCATGGCCGGTTTTCGTCGTCTTCGGAGCTCCATTGACAATGTCATTGACCTGGTGACCTACGTACAACACCAGAAAATGAGCAGACGGTTATCTGTCGCACTATTTTAGATGTCAAAGGAGCATATGACAATGTTTCTCACGAAGCCATACTTGACGCCCTCGAGTCAGTTGGTTTGGGTGGGCGAGTGTACCGCTGGATCCAATGCTACCTACATATGAGATCATTGTTTATGCAAACTGATGATGGGCCGACTTCTGAACATTATACACACCGTGGTGTTCCTCAAGGTGGTGTATTGAGCCCCACACTGTTCAACCTGGTTCTGATCGGTCTCGTTGAACGCATACCAGATTCCGTGCAGATATCTCTCTATGCAGATGATATTTGTGCCTGGACATCAGGTGTAACACGTCCTCAGGTACGTGCGAGACTCCAGAAAGCAGCGAATTCAATATCGGCGTACCTTAGAGAACAAGGCCTCGAGATTTCTCCTGAGAAATCGGCGCTGGTCGCGTTCACGCGGAAGGCAATGACGTCATATCCCATCGCCATCGATGGACACAGTGTCTGCTACGCCAGGACCCACAGGTTTTTGGGGGTCACGATCGATCGAAATCTCTGCTGGAGTCCCCATGTGGCCACTCTAAAGAAGCGCCTAACGGCCATCGCACAACTTTTCAAGTTCCTCGGAGGCAAAACGTGGGGCACATCAGTGCACGCGATGTTGCATTTGTACAAAACGCTGTTTCTGGGGTACCTGCGGTATAGCTTGCCGGTTCTGACGAACGCTTGCAAAAGCAATATACGCACAATAGAAAACGCCCAGGGCCAGGCACTCAGAGTTTGTCTTGGATTACCACGCTGTACATCAACAGCGGAAACCATCGCAATCGCCAAAGATCATCCGGCCACAGTGCACATTACTTTGGAGGTGCTTAGAGCTCATATTAGACACCTTGCTCGCGCCCCTGCCCACCACCTAGCTTCGCTTCCAGAAGATCGACCGAGTGCCTCCTTCTGTAAGAGAGTATTGACTTTCCGTGAGTGCCTTCCAACAGTCTACACGCCTCCGGAACGGATACTAACACCTCCTTGGTGCTTGGACCGACCAAAACTGCGCTTGACAGTGCCGGGGATTCGCAAGAAGGCGGAGCTCTCGGCGCCAGCTTTAAAGCAGATGATTCTACTCATGCTACACGAAGAATACAAAGATCATGTCAAACTTTACACGGATGGCTCGACAACTGTTGGAGGATCTGCAGGAGCTGTGATCTTCCCAGCAAGAGCCGAAACCATCCAGTTCAGAACGTCACACAAGACGACATCGACAGCCGTGGAGCTCGCGGCACTCCGCAGCGCACTCCGCAGGATTGACCAAGAGACACCACAAAAATGGAGCATTTTTACTGATTCGAAACCAGCTCTCCAATGTCTACAAAATGCTCTACGTCGTGGACCTCAAGACCAATTGGCGCTCGAAATACGACAACTGTACCATCACCTAAAAGACGAAGGACATGACATATCTTTTCAGTGGTTACCAGGCCATTGCGGCATCATTGGTAACGAACATGCCGACAATGCAGCTAAGAATGCTCACGAAAATGGAGTGATGGAACCTATTCCACTATCAAGAAGCGACGCAGCAGCAAAGATTAATACGCTTGCGCAGGATGTCGCAAGGTCTATGCGGAATACGCCCGGTTTTCTCCACACCCGTCTTCACCGCCTGGACCCATACCTACGACTTACTATTCCATCTGGCCTACCCCGATCCGAGACGACCCTTCTCTGCCGTATGTGGCTTGGGGTGTCTTTCACGAACGCTTTTACCTGCCGCATCGGAATGAGAGACAGCGCTACATGCGACCATTGCGACAATGACGAAACAATTGAACATATTTTATGTCAGTGCCCCCAGTACAGCTCTCAGCGACAGTCCCTCTCAGCAGTGTTTGCTCGCCTCGACGACCAGCCATTTTCTGAACAGTCAATCTTGGAATGTCGGAAAGATCGAGCTTCACGCCAGAAAGCAACGAAGGCGCTGATGAAGTTTCTGCGAGCGACCCGCCTCGTTGAAAGATTGTGACACTACTGTGTGCGAGTGTGTGTGTGTGTGTGTTTGTGCTTCTCTTCCTCCCTTTCCCCTTTTTTTGTCTCCCCTTACCCCTTCCCCAGTGCAGGGTAGCAAACCGGATATGTTTTCTGGTTAACCTCCCTGCCTTTCCGCATTAAATTTTCTCTCTCTCTCTCTTTTTTCCTCCTGTACCTTGAACCCGTTACTAATTCTTGAGCCATTAATTGGGAAATTTGTGTGAGTTACTAGATTGCTTGTGTCAGTTTAATGAACACTTTCGTTAGCGTTCGCTCACTGGCAAAAGCTAGTATTCCTAGGCTGACACCAACCGTCTTCAAGGAGATTAATTTCAACACTATTTGTTCGTATATCATATTGTAGCAATTGTAGCAGCCTCACAACAAGGATGTTCTATTTACACAGTTTAATAAGGGGTGAACTTCTGCCCTATGTGAACGGCGCACAGAAATTAAGAAGAACCGAAGGTCGGTAGTCCTCGCGAGCCTCTTCCTAGAGCACCCTCGTTCTCTTCTTCTTCACGTGCGTTGGCTGTTCGGTGGAGTGCCGTGCGCATGCAGGGCCAGCTCGTGCATTATGGCTCGCTTCATCGCTCGTAGTCGTGCGTTTCTCTTCGTTCACGACATCCGTGTTGTGCGGAGCATTGGCAATTTCCCGTGGCAATATTGCATACAAAAAAGAAGTTACAGACTACGTCACATTCGCTTAAAAAATGGTCTTGTGTGGGTTAGATATTGCAATAAAATGACAAACAGAGGCCAAATTATACCACAGACTGGGTGATAAATGATAAAATATGCAGTTGATGGTGCCGGTGTTTTGGGGTGGGAGGTGAAATGAAAACAATTCACAGGCATGAACTGCTATCATGTTGCAAAAGACCGGGTAAATTGCATAAGGGTGAAAAATATTTTCGTCCTTCAGTACCTGGCAATGCCGACGATGACAGTTTTAACAACGAAAATGACTACTGAATGACATTTATTTTTGGTGCAAGTCAGCGGAGTGAAAGTTTGAAAAGCTGAAAAAATACATTGTTCTGAATGCACATATGACATATTCGTCTCGAATGCCCATTGTGTTTTAACAAAGATCCATGGTGGTAGAGATATCAACAAAAGGTGATTGACTATTTTTTTGTGCGCAGTGAATTGACATGACAGCCAATGTGGGAACGCTCTTTGCTTAAGAAAATTATTACATACCTTGAGTGAAAACGAAGCTGCAAGCAACCCATATATAATTCATTCTGCTGATTTCTTGCCCTTCTTTACAGGTACGATCGCACGAGGATGCTTATGGCCAGAAAAAAAAATAAATGGAAGCATGGCGGCTTTTTCAGGTACCAAAGGCTTGTTTCATGGAGCAGATGTTTTCAAGAAGACAATACACCTTGTTTCTCGGCGATGTCAGTCATATTTATGACTGCAGATGCCTTAGGCATCTGTGTTATTGCTAGTGCAAGCTTTAACTGTGGTAACATAACATTTCCACCCTAGAATATCTATCTTAATATCATTAGACAAAAGCGTTTTTTTAGAAGGACTTCTCTTGTTATGGATAGTTGTTTTCGGAGAGGCAGGTGGAAGAAGCTCTATCACACTTTTATAATATATTGAATGGCCTAAAACTGAAGATCTTGCTACATTGATGAAATGTGACCAAGTCGAAGCTGTGAACACCGGCTGTATAAAGTTTTTGTTACTTTTTAATTAGTATGTTCTCCCTAATAGGTTTTTCACATATAACAAAAGCTTGTACAATAGAAACTAATTCCATTTGAGACCTGCGAGTAGCCCATCGACACACAGAAGCCGCAACCAATAAATGAAAGGTCTGTGTCACAAGCAAACATTTTACTTGGGAAGCTGTTTAAGCTGCTATAATATGCATGCCATATCACGATCAACTGACTTACCGTTGTTGCTTTTAATATAAGCGGATATGTGCCACAGAAATTGGTTACGTACCCCCAGGCACCTCTCTTCCACTGAAAAGTTGGCGCGCTATAGTTACGAGAACAGGGGCCTACAGATGAGTAACATTCCTCTGGAATATATGTATAGCTGGAGAGCTAATGGTTGATTTGCCAATGCTATAGCAGTAATGCAACCCAAGCCGAGACTTCGAAAGAAAAGCAAGGACAAGAAATGCGTGTGACTGAAGATGGAAACATGGCCAACTTATTTCATAAATTTACGTTCCTAGACATTGTAGCTAATTAGCAAACTCCTGTTTGACCTCAGCTTGAATTAGATCTACCGATGGCTGTGATGGGTCAGTGACATGGCTTGTGAAAACAGGCTGTTGAAGAGGAGCTGGATAGTCAGCTTCAAGCTCCTGACGAACAATGTCGGTGACGTGGTCATAGGTGGGTGGCTGGTGAACGACTTCACACGACGATGTTGCGGCTTTGTTGGGCAGTCGTGTGAATTTCTACGTGATACGACGGTTTTTTGGTATTTTCAAAGCGCCGGCACTCTTTGATGAATTAATCGATGGTGGTGATGCTGGTGTAGACAAGCAGGCTGAAGACATCGTCTGCGATAACTTAGAGAACATGCGATAAATTCTCAGACTGAATCATGTGCTCGTTACACAAGCGGCAAAAAACGATGATGCCGTGAATATACGCGATGTTCGATTCGCTATACGTCTATGACTGAGTAGCCAATCGATTTCGCGCAGTCATCAGGCGTGCAGTTCTGTTGCCAAACAGGTTACAAATCTTCTCTTTGAAAGTGTCCCAGCTGGTAATATCGGCTTCATGTGTCTCGAACCACAACCGCGGTGGGCCATCAAGGTGAAAAATTACGTTGGCGATCATGAGTGCCGGTTCCCATCTGTAGCCGGCACTGACGTATTCATACACGTTAAGCCACTTGTCAACATGAACGCCATCCTGTACAAAAAAACACGCCAGAATCACGAGCAGGAGGTAGGACTACGTAGGTATGAGTCACGGAAAGGGCGGGTCGTGTCCTGTTCTGTTACACCGAATGTATCCAGCTGAGCACGATACGCTCTGCCCTTTCTGCAAAAGGAAAGAGGCACTCTAGCACACATCATAGCTGAGTATAAAGATCTTAAGAATACCTCACCTCCCCTTCCCCCCAACACATACAATCCCCAACCCTTCGAGTGATGGGAGACCTTGTTATCCAGCCCCACTCTGCCGACTCAGCATGCATTGACGGTTATGGGCCAGGATTTACTAGAAACATACGGGGCTCGAGAATAGGGAACCATCCCGTCTGGTGCAAGCACGTACCACCGAATATTAGAGCTCAATAAAGTTGATTCTCTCTCTCGCCCTCTCTCGTGAAGACGACGTTACTTCAGCCTGTGACATGGTTGGACTCACGATGATACGTCTGTTGTGGAGCTTCGTGATAAGTACAGGGAATCACCAGCAGCTCCACCGCAAATATGTTATGTAAAATGAGACGAGACGCGAGTATTTGTGAGTGTACTGACATCGAACAAGACGGAGCACAGCATGTACGAAGGGCAAGCCATTCCTCTTCCTCCTTTTCTATACGGAGAACGTTTAACTATTAATGCGCTAGCTACGTAACAATATTATGCACTGCCAGAAAGAACTATTTGCTTCGGCTGTTCAACGTTTTGCTTCAGTTGCTTCAACTGTTCTTTAAGATGCATAGCGTGGTACTGAAAATTGAAAATAAGGAAGAAGCGTAAACATGAAAAAACAGTGGACATGACCGTGTCATGTATTACACATTTATTAACACCAAACTACATCACTCAGGCACTACGCGAAATCCATAAGGTCCCCAATCCAGACGGACGTTCGCCGTGGCACTTCCGTCTTGAAGTCGCAAAGGCGGGAAGCCTAGTCGTTGAAGAAACCTGTTTGCTCTCTTCAAAGCATAGTTCAACCAGCGTTCAAGCTGCGTCTGATGCCGCCACGAATTGCGACTAGGCCAAGATCCCCCAAGATCCCACCCCCCTCTGTTGTATTGCACCTACATAAATAATGAAAACAGGCAAATCAATTGTATGAGTGATTTTACTAGTGGTGAACAATTTTTTGCATAACTTCCGTTACGAATTCATTATTTATTGCATTAAACGCATATTAGAATAAAAGTGCACACGAGGATATCTTGAGATAGTGGTGCGTGGTTATACTTGCGAATAAAATTGTATTGAGTTCACAAGCTCCAACACCAAACAAGCATCGAATGACGAGTGTTATGCATTCTTATTCTTACAATAAATGATCCCCAGTGCTTATACATCACTAAAATGTACAAAATATAACGCTTTTGTTTAGTAATAAATAATAAATAAATCAATATCCTAATAAACCATAAATATGTAATCACAAATTTTATGCATGTGCCAACACAGAAAGAAAATAATGTAGATTGGTTATTCTTCTAGTTTCATTAAGATAATTACACACATCCACGCAGGAATTCGCCTAGACGAATTCAGAAATAGGGGCTCCAAAATACAAAATCACGGGCACGAATAAAGTCATTCCTATGGCACGTAATGATATTTTTATTTTGGTTTTTTGAGCTGTAGTAAATCGCTTACAGGTAAAAAAAAAGAACCTGCAGCTTTCAGCTCACCACAGAATGCGCACATTGCAGAATGAGCCTGACCAGACCTTTCTTTGTTAATAGAACTTCAGTTTCGGCATCCGACAGCGCAGCCTTGTTATTGTCACTTCCAGTTTACGAGTTTCACAGAATGATCGACGCCAGGGATGCAATATGTGCTGATACTCGGTGGAAATGGTCAGTGCTGTAGCTGCGAATCTTTCCATAATGTTTTGCCCACGAAAAATGTACTGAACCATAATTCTTCTTTGTCGTCAGCCACAGCACGAACAAATCGCACGTAATGATTTAGAGATACGTAGTGGACATCATTCGAAGAACAATAAATAATGGTATACTGGAAGGCTTCCTTCGTAAAAAACTGCCAGGCCTGTGCTGAACGCGCTGCACTGTCTCGGCAAAAGCTACTACGGCAGTCTTTTCAGAGTTTGGGTAGCTGCTGCAAGCACACTTATAAGGTGCCCACCACACTATAAATCATTGTTTAGTAGGCAGGCATTCATTATGCCTCTCCCTCACACAATCCCTCACAGTGGGAATGCACCACAGTTAATAGGTGAACAAGATAAAGCTTTTGAAAAGGGTTAGAGCATTCGACGACCGACTCGTTGCACAGTTCACATTATTTGACACCAGGTTGTTACTTTGCGGCTCTGAAACGCTTCATTATTCACATTAATGCGATTCTTTTCTCGACATCTTAAATGCCCAAGGCAAGTTTGCAAAGGAGTTCCTAGCACCGGCGTGGCTCAATGGCAGAATACTGGGCTAGCACGCAGGTTCCAGTCGCATTCGGGATTTTTACTCTTTTTTTTTCGTATTTGGTATGATAGCGCTTACGGACACCGACGGCGGCGGCGGCGGCGAACAACTACAGCGCGCACGTGACCCCTGTAGGGATCTCATATCAGCTGTATTATCTCATATCACTGTAAAAAAAGTATGATAATTGACAACATTGCGGGTAATTTGCTAGCGTACTTGTAGTAGTCGACTAAAGAGATTTCACGAAGAAGGCTTCAGAAAGGACACTGTTTTAGATTTTGCTTTGTCCATGCTGCGTATTCCACGCAGGCTTGGTAATCCTTGCCGTGTTCGTATTTATTTGTCGGATGAAATTTGAATACGCGCACAAGCGTAAATATCGTGGGAGTGGCCACCTTTTTAAGGCATTTGTAGTCACAGTTCCCGTAAGCATCTTCCTGAAAAGTAGTGGGTTGTTATGTGACAAAAGAGTATTTTTGTTAGTGCTAGATCAAGAGATCCAAAATTAAATACATTGCTTCGCAGGCCATAGCCTAAGCTTTTCTCTTATTGAGCACGCGTATGCCTGACAATAGCTAGGATGCGTGTAAGTTTTGAAGTGGTGTGTCTATTGTATACTTGAGAGCACGTGCGTTTAATTCTGCACACTGAATCTTCTTTAGAGTAGTTGTTCATCGGCTTCTTCTCCTAATGAAGATGATTAAAAAAATCTGAAGTGGATCACACTCTACACGACCAGCCTTCAACATATTCGTATCGGTTGCTCATATCTAATTAACTTCACGGCCTTCTTCTGCATTTCTCTCTCTTCTTATCTATGCTGGCACGGTTGATTATTTTAGTTCGGAACCAATGTCCTAGAATTGAGAGACACGTAACCCATTTTACTCACATCTCGAAAATTCGCGAAAGTCGGGCAGAGGTTTATTTGAAGCAAAGAGAACGGTCATGTGTGCTACTCTGGAAAAAGAGATAGCTACTCCGGCTGATTGATTTGTCATGATTGATGTCTGGTTTAACGTCCCAAAACCACCGAATTATTGAGAGGTGCCGTAGTGGATGAATGCGGATATTTCGACCACCCGGGGTTTTTTAACGTTTACCTATCTGCAAAGAGGCAGCCGTAAGTATTGTCGCGCTGCCATTCGACACGACCGCAGTGTACCTGCTGCGGTATCGTGCACAATCGGTGTATAATGTATTGCTCTCAGGGATGTCGCTGAGCATGCGCATTAGATACGCAAAACTGCTGCTCCGGCGTCCCGCCTCATGCTTATGACTCATGTTCCAGGGGAGTGGCTGCACCTTCAAGGTTCGATGTACCAGAGGTGAGACCTCGCTGGCGGCGTCTTCGATGTGATTGTGCAGACTGGGTATCCCAGTTGCAAGATCACGTGTCGCCCAATGGGTGTGAGCAAAAGGCGCTACCGTTGGTTGGTTAACTGAGTCTTCAATAGTTCACAGAGTGTTTTATGGGTCCCGAGGGAAAGTAGACGCATAGTGGCAGTGTAGTGTGGAAGACCGTGGGTTAACTTGGCCACCTTTCATAGCGTTACGTCGTCCTGCGTCTGCTCCGGCTGGGTAAGTGCGTGAAAAGAAGATGGTACGTAGTACGACTGACTACACAGGCCTGCACCAGCGGCAGCGCATCACGTTCTTGCAACTCCCAGCGCCGGTTTGATACCCGTCGTATTATGACAAGAATCTGTTTGGTTAGTCGGAAAAAAGAGAGTTGGCTCTTCCATTCGCTTGAACGTGCAAGCCAACTACGCGAGCATCGCCCACCTGAGGAACAGAAGTCCCGCCGCGGTGGTCTAGTGGCTAAGGTACTCGGCTGCTCACGCGCAGGTCGCGGGATCGAATACCGGCCTAGGTGGCTGCATTTTTGATGCAGGCTCTAATGTTTTAGGCACGTGTTCTTAGATTTGGGTGCACGTTAAAAGATGCCAGGTGGTCGAGATTTCCGGAGCCCTCCACTACGGTGTCTTCCATAATCATACGGGAATTTTGCGACGTTAAACCCCACGTATCTATCAGTCTGAGGGACGGCAACGCCATCAACATGCACAACAATCTGAGGTGGCGGCGTGATGCTACGCACCCGGATAATAACAAGCTTGGAATTTCGAAGGGATCAGAGAAAGCTGCACTGTCGTGCGTAGACGGTAAGGATGGCTGGTGACACCGCACACTAGATTTAACTCCGCCATAATATTTCGTACATTAAATAGGCTCTGGAACTTCTACGAAGTTCTGTCATCCCAGCGATATTCGTTGCAAATCCTTGTTTTTTAAATTTTTTTCTAAACTTGATAAGTCACGCAATTTTGACACACGTATGTTAAGTTATAGAACATATTACATATACACCGAATTTCAGACTCGCTTACGCTTAAGGTAACTTACAAAATATGTAAAAATATTTTGTAAAATTGAAGTAAAACCTGGGAATACATACGTGAAAAATAGGCACAACCGAAGTTTTATTTACTGTAAACACCTACACACTCTCACATAAGTCAATTGATGATTGATTGATTGATGTGTGGGGTTTAACATCCCAAAACCACCATATGATTATGAGAGACGCCGTAGTGGAAGGCTCCGGAAATTTCGACCACCTGGGGTTTTTTAACGTGCACCCAAATCTGAGTACATGGGCCTACAGCATTTCCGTCTCCATCGGAAATGCAGCCGCCGCAGCCGGGATTTGATTCCGCGACCTGCGGGTCAGCAGCCGAGTACCTTAGCCACTAGATCACCGCGGTGGGGCACTCTCACATAAGTTTTATTTTAAACATCACAAGTTTAACTTCCACAAAAGAAACATCATTTTTCCGTATCAAAAATATCCAGTTTGAAATAATAAGAAGACAGCTTATGCTGTTAGAAATAATCAGGTAGGCATAGGATCAATAGGTATTCTTGTTTATAAAAAAAAATAAGAACACGAAAGAGGCCCTACCAGGATAACTTGACCGCAATGTCCGACTACCACCACTACTAATCAAATAGTCCCGCTCACGTATATAGGAATGTTGCCCGATAGCGCAGCTAGCAAGCAGCCTGCTTACAACGTCTTTTCCAAGCGCGTGCTTATTCATGCGGGCTTGGTGCGCATCTGGCGTTGCTGTAGAAATAGCGCTAGCATCTGATGTAGCAACCGACCACAGAGATTCTCACTCTGTCCTAGTTCCTTCATCAACCTTAGAGAATGCACGTCCGACGGACAATTTGGTGCAGTGAAAGAGCACACGCCTGGCGCACGTGTTCGGAAAGTGAAGTACAATGCGAAGAAAATGACGAATAGGGCACATCCCGGCATGAAAAAGCTTGTCTTTGTTTACATTATTATAAAATGGCTAAATAGCTGGCATAACAAGTCTCCCGTAAAAAGAACTTGTGCGCGGCTAACAAACATAGCGTCACGCAGAACTAAATTGATTGTAAAGGACCCAACATGTTGGCGGATGAGCCACACTCGTGGCACGAGAAGATGTTGATATTTTCCACCTAGCCATAAATCTCATCAATAAAAAAATATTATCCACTGCTACTTAAAATGCAAGCTACTGGAATCATTTGGCATACACCCTAGATTACCGTGAACGCTTTTGAATGTCTTGTTCACAAATTAATTTATTGAAACTTTAGGTACTTTGGGATGAAAATTTGACAGTATCAGTACGGATAAGCACACACCCTACAAAAGTAGCGTACATTCACCGATATAGGGCCCAATGTTATTATGAATTCCACTGGCGTCTTAAAAAACAACAAATTACAAGTGACTACTTACAAATGACCAAAACGATGCATTCGAATAACGAAAATGGCCGCATTGTACAATTTTTAGCCTCGTTCTTTAAGGTGAAAAAGTAAGTATGCCTTCACTGCAATGTCGGCTCTACAGAAAGAAAGAGAAGCGTTAAAACATACGCAGACCCTATAGTCCACATGTATTACGAAGTACAAAGACACCTCACACACAATGAGTTGATTGTAGTCGCTCCTGAAGCATTGTTTCCAACTGTGATGCTAGTAAATAGGACTTTCTTTAAACCTTTTTAGAATGCTATAAGTGTACTTTATACATTTTATTTTTGTGTATCACATCCAATTCTTGAAAATTAACATGCAGTATCAAGGCCCCTTCATCCTGTTCAGAGCTACCAATACATGAACATTGCGTTTGCTGTTACATTGGGTTGAGGGAGTGCCCTCCAAAAAGAGATTTTGTCTCTAATATGCATGTACACATTATCCTTATTCATTATGCACAATGCTTAACTATAGTTTTCTCAATATCGTTAGTAAATGCGTAGAATTATGTGCAGAGTACTTCTGAAGCTCGGGAACCATTCCTGTTCTCATCAATAAAGGCAAAACTCATTGTAGGTATCGTTTGTTGACCAGTTTGTCTACTATAGTGCCCCATAATGCTCTGTTCAAACAATAATCTATTGTCCAGTCTTCATAAGCTATTTCACTGTTCCTTTATAGGCTATTGAGGCTAGAAGATTCAGAATGGGGCACGTGCGCACGCACAACCAGAGCTTTCACACTAAGTAGCTTTGCCGATTCGAAAAAAAAAAGTGAAAATGCTTTTGCATGGTCCCACGAAGCTCCAGACGGCGTCGAAAGATCTGGCAGTTATTGCAAATATAAAAAAAATAAGCACTTGGACTTCCAAACAAAAAAGCAGATGACACTGAATCGTTTGCGTAGCTCGCCATATAATTGGCTGAACACGCAGGTGGTGACGTGGATAAAAGCCATATCAATCAGCCTCTACAAATAAGATAACGGGTTGTACCAGTATAGGCCAGCAGACGTGCAAAAAACTTACGTAATTTCATCGGTTCTTGAGAGAAACCATTGTATACAGTGGATACCCAAACAGGCAGTTACGGCAGCGTCAGGGAAAACTTGATTGGCCCTATATTGCTAATCTTCATTGTTGTTCACCTATGTAAGTAAGTTTTGGGATCACAATATTATGAAGAATCATGTGATCTATCAACTGTCATTTGGGTATATCATGCGGGAATAAGGTTTGCAGTTCGCCACAAGCTATTCTAGCTACGAACAGTGGCAAATAAGACTCCCGCGTTTAAATACAGAGATAAATATGCTAAAGCAGATGGCGGGGTACGTGTCCGCCTCTATTGCTTCATCGGTTGAACTTCAGACACGCTATTAAAAGGTTGCAGGTGTGGTCCCCGTCGGAAGCAACTATACTCTTTTCATCCATTTTAGTTTCTTCAAATCATAATACGTTCACTGCAAATAACGTCCCATGCGCTTTCCTTCACTTGATTGTCGCCTAGTTCTAATTCATGATTAACGTAAAAAAACAAACAAAAGAAAACCGAGCACTTGAGTTCGTCTAATCTTGTTCACTTATAGTGAGGGTTTCATCATGGCAGTGTTTATACCTTCGGATAGTATGCGATGACTTATTAGTTAGCAGCCAGCTCGGTAGAAGGTAGAGCGGTGTGAGGGCAAAACGCAATAGGAAACTGTTCAACACTCGCCGCCATGGCGACGAGGAGAGCTGAGTTCACGTTGGGATGACCGCCACCGCTCCTCATTTGCTAGAGCATCGGACGCGTTGCAGGTCCGGTGAGTGCCAACGGTAAGTCGCCTTTTGTGTCCGATGCACTTAATAACAAACAAAAGGAACATATCTATCTATCTATCTATCTATCTATCTATCTATCTATCTATCTATCTATCTATCTATCTATCTATCTATCTATCTATCTATCTATCTATCTATCTATCTATCTATCTATCTATCTATCTATCTATCTATCTATCTATCTATCTATCTATCTATCTATCTATCTATCTATCTATCTATCTATCTATCTATCTATCTATCTATCTATCTATCTATCTATCTATCTATCTATCTATCTATCTATCTATCTATCTATCTATCTATCTATCTATCTATCTATCTATCTATCTATCTATCTATCTATCTATCTATCTATCTATCTATCTATCTATCTATCTATCTATCTATCTATCTATCTATCTATCTATCTATCTATCTATCTATCTATCTATCTATCTATCTATCTATCTATCTATCTATCTATCTATCTATCTATCTATCTATCTATCTACGTTCTTGTGATCAGTAAAAATGAAGTAGATTGTCCTCTGAGGGTGCTCGAAACTTTACATACCAAGATTCTGAAAATTTTGTTGACCCAATGACGCCAAAGTACGATCATTATTCTTTGAAATCAGTGATGTCCCACAGACAAATTTCGGCGACAAATTCAAAAAATTGTACTCTAAGCTTGATTTACTCCTGTATTATCCAACCTACGATGTTGAAATCTATGACATTAAAGTTATCTTAGTGGAATGCGTCTATTAAATTGACTCATTACTCAATATCTCTAAAATTCCTTCAATTTATTCTCGTTCTATATTATGACGACAACAAATGACGCCCCCTGTAGTTTCGCTGAGTGCCTTGACTCTTAGTTATAATTACAGTTATGTGTCACAAACAAAACATTTGAATTGTTTAATACCTACTTCCTAGCATCAAGAAGGCTGGCCAGCATAGCAGTCATCAATATTTTACATATGATAAATTGCGCTGATTATGTGATCACAGATGAAACATGATCATTCTTGTAGATGGGAAGATGCGCACCATTTCTTAACTGAGTCTGCACGCGGCCGAGTGCAGTGACGTAGCCGACGCACTAGACGTTTTTCTCAATGCTAGGGACGGCGAAAAAAATTTCACGCAGTTGTAGGCGCAGCAGTGGTTACCCAGTTACGGAATTCATTTTTTGACTAATTCTCCCTAAGTATGATTACAAGCCGCCAAAGGCAAAGTGTCATGTATACGATAGCGCCACTTATTGTCGATAGCACGGCCAGCCCAGCTGCCAGTAATCATGTGTCCCGACTGCGATCGGTATAAAACTGCATGTCTAGGCTGCCGCCCCACCTCATCCTTTTCATTTGATGTTGTACCGTTGTACTTGCGACAATATGTAGCAATAAATCGTTTCGCTACTCTACGTTCGTCTCCGAACATTGGACATCACACAAAGATTGATCCTGGCTGAGCACAAGGCGAACACAAGAGATTAGAACATCAACACACTTACGCTTCAATACGGCGTGCGGTATTATGATTAACAACTGCGTACGTCTTCGGTCTTCACAAGCGCACAAGTGCACTTAAGCTGTTTCTTGCACTCAGCTATGCCGCAGTAAGAAATTTGCTCAGATCACTATAGAACGTATACTGCAGCAGTGTGATGTTGTGCGAGAACATTGCATGAGTAGGTTTTATTTCGGCTAATTATTTTCGTTCAGCTAGTTTCACCCAAACGAAGGCATCTCTAAGCGTTATCCCCCTATACATAGCTGCCCACCGAAAGTACAGTCGCATGTGTCTGTTCAATAAAAAATTTCATCTCTATCCGATCCTTCGTTCCCGGTTAGTAGAACCTGCTCATTTCATTTCGCGTCCTCAGATACGTTCCCGGCTTCAAAAAGCAGCAACTATGATTGCCAACTACTTGTTCAAACAAGGTCTCAGCATATCACCGGAAAAATGCGCGCTGGTGGCTTTCACTCGCAAAGCAATGACCCCTTATGTCATCTCAATCTGCGGGCGACCAATTTCTTACGCCAAAACCCACCGGTTTCTGGGCATCATTATTGATAGGGACCTCTGTTGGAGTCCGCATGTGACCTATATGAAGAAGCGCCTGACCGCTGTTACTCAACTGTTCAAGTTCCTGGCAGGAAAGACGTGGGGGATGTCAGTAGACGCAATGATGGAGCTCTACAGAGCCCTGTTTCTCGGTTTCCTCAGATATAGCTTGCCTGTGCTTAGCAATACCTGCAAGACCAATGTTCGTGTTTTACAGGCAGTACAAGCCCAAGCGCTGAGAGTGTGCCTCGGTCTGCCCAGATGTACGTCAACAGAAGCAACAATTGCAATTGCTGGTGACTATCCGATACAAACTCACATTGTTGTAGAAGTCCTGAGAACGCACATCCGACACTTCGCACGTGCCCCCGGCCATCACCTTGCACTGTTGCCTTCTGAGAGGCGCCAAGCATCGTTCGCCAAAATTATCGTGAAATACAACGATAAACTTCCCTCGGGCTTCACTCATGCATCTAAACCACCCATACCACCTTGGTGTCTTATTCGACCCACAGTGCATCTTAGTGTACCAGGGATCCGGAGGAAATCTGAGTTTTCGTCACCCGTGCTGAAACAACTGTCTCTTCTTCTTTTGCACGAGAAATATTCAGACAGCATACATGTATACACCGATGGTTCCACGAACCACCAGTGTTCGTCAGGGGCAGTAGTTATCCCAGCAAGAGGTGTTACCATCAGCTTTAGGACTGACCACTCCACGGCATCTACAGCAGCGGAACTAGCTGCTTTGCACGCTGCACTTTGTGTGGTCAATCAGGAACCACCGCAACAATGGTCGATTTTCAGCGACTCAAGGGCTGCCCTACAATCTGTGCTCTCAGCACTGCGTCGCGGCCCGTACGAACAGCTTGTTTTCGAAATTCGATGCCTTCTCCACACTTTACTCGAGAAAGGGCATCATGTGACGCTTCAATGGCTGCCAAGTCATTGCGGCATCATAGGGAACGAACATGCCGATACTGCCGCGCGGGCAGCCCTCGAAGGAACACGAAAAGAAGCCATACCACTTTCGAGGACTGATGCTGCCAGTAATCTTCGACGACTTGCGCGTGAAATCACGTTTTCACTATGGTGCCCACCAAGCATCGATACGAATCGTCAACACCACCTGTCCTATTTGATGGCTCTCCGCATGCCCGCTGGACTCGACCGAAGAGAAGCCACCCTACTTCATCGCGTATGGCTAGGAGTGGCATTTACAAAATCTTACTCCTTT